GAAATAGCAATTGTTTTGACACTGTCAAGTGTTATTAAATTGCTGGTGACAGAAGTTCCCAGACAAAGCATCTGGTTCTTAATTTTTAAACTGTTTTCAAACTGTAACAAATACTGAATAATCAGCTTTTTTATATTAAAAAACAGCGAAAATCAGCATTTTCTTTTATTTCACCGAGTAATTGAGAAAGTTTATTCTATTTGATTTTTCAATTCATTTTTTCCTTTCTCTTTTTTTTCAAGCCAGCTGCCAGCCTCATTTAGAGAACTTTTTTAATGTAAATGAAGACTTTAAACTAATTACTTGCAAATCGCAATTGGTCATCCACTGAAAGGTGTTTGTTTGGGAACTGAGAGGCATTTGAAAGCAAAGGCAGCTCGGAAGAGTGAAAAGACCCAACATTCAGGTGGGAAATGGTGAATGATGGGAAGCAGGTATTTTTAAAATGCGGGATTACACACATCCTGGCCATTTTAAATCTCAATGAAGATATGAATCAATCTTTTAACTGTACCCCTATTACAACTGTACTCTTGTGCTCTTTTAGACTGTATATCAGGCATGGCCAAACTTGGGCCCTCCAGGTGTTTTGGACTTCAATTCCCACAATTCCTAACAGCCTACAGCAGTGACTGAGGGGGAAAAGGAAGGGGCCTGAGGCTATAGGGTAGATATGGGCAAACCCAGACCCGGGGCCAGATGTGGCCTGTTTCTCTCAGACCCTCCTTTCTCTCACCATCCTATTCTTCCTTCCTTCTCTCTTTCCTTCCTCCTTCCCTTCCTCTTTCTCCTTCCCTTCCACCCTTTTGTCCTTCCTTCGTCCTCTCTTTCCTTCCTCCTTCCTTCCCTTTCTTCTTCTTTCTCCTTCCTTCCTTCTCCTTTGTCTTTCCTTCCTTCTCTCTTTCCTCCCTCCCTCCATTCCCTCCCTCTTTTTCCCTCCTTCCATTCCCTTACACCCTTTTGTCCTTCCTTCCTTCTCTCTGTTGTCTTTCCTTCCTTTTCTCTTTCATTCTTCCATACCTCCCTCTTTCTCCTTCCATACTTCCTTTCCACCCTTCTATCCTTCCTTCCCTTTTGGCTTTCCTCCCTCCTCTCTTTCCTTTATTCTTCCCTTCCTTCCATCCATCCTTCCCTTCTTCCCTCCCTTCTTTCCTTCTCTTTTTTCTCCTTCCCTTCCCATCCTTTCCTTATTATTTATTTATTTATTATTTATTTATTTATTTGTTTATTTATTTTGTATGCTTATATACCGCAATATCTCAGCCTACAACGGCGACTCATTGCGGTTAACAGTACTTAAAAACAACAATAATCAAACAATTTAAAAGCATAAAAAACATATACAGTACACAGTATCGGGCCACCAATACCGACCAATGCATCTCTTAGTTAAAATCATAATCCGAATTCATCGTCAATAATTACCAGTCCTTGTCATCAACTTCATCGCACCGGATTACCCGAATGCTTGTTCAAACATCCATGTCTTAAGTTTTTTTTCGAAATACCAACAGCGAGGGAGCTGATCTTATCTCTATAGGGAGGGCATTCCAAAGCCGAGGGGCCACCACAGAGAAGGCCCTGTCTCTCGTTCCCGCCAGCCGCACTTCTGAAGCCGGAGGGACAGAGAGCAGGGACTCTCCAGAAGATCTTAGGGTCCTGGTGGGCTGATAGGCTGAGATACGTTTGGATAGATAAGTTGGGCCAGAACCGTTTAGGGCTTTAAGCCAATGCCAGCACTTTGAATTGGGTCCGGTAGCTGATCGGCAGCCAGTGGAGCTGGTACAGCAGAGGAGTTGTATGCTCCCTGCGCCCTGCTCCTGTTAGTACCATGGCTGCCGCCCGTTGGACTAGTTGGAGCTTCCGAGCCGTCTGCAAAGGCAACCCCACGTAGAGAGCGTTGCAGTAGTCAAGGCGGGATGTAACCAGAGCGTGGACTACCGTGGCCAAGTCAGACTTCCCAAGGTACGGTCGCAGTTGGCGCACGAGTCTTAACTGTGCGAATGCTCCCCTGGTCACCGCCGAAACCTGGGGGTCCAGGCTCAGCGCTGAATCCAGGATCACACCCAAACTGCGAACCTGTGTTCAGAGGGAGTGTGACCCCATCCAACACAGGCTGTAACCCTATACCCTGTTCGGCCTTACGACTGACCAGGAGTACCTCTGTCTTGTCTGGATTCAATTTCAATTTGTTCGCCCCCATCCAGACCGTCACAGCGGCCAAGCACCGGTTCAGGACCTCGACAGCCTCCTTAGTAGCAGGTGGTAAGGAGTGACAGAGTTGGACATCATCTGCGTACAGATGACATCGCACTCCGAAACTCCGGATGATCTTGCCCAGCGGCTTCATGTAGATGTTAAACAACATGGGAGACAGTATTGACCCTGAGGAACCCCACAAGACAAAGGTTGTGGGTTTCAGGAGTCCCCAGTAACACCTTCTGAGACCGACCCTCGAGGAAGGACCAGAGCCACTGCAAAGCAGTACCTCCGAAGACCCATTCCCGCGAGGCGTCCCAGAAGGATACCGTGGTCGACGGTATCGAAGGCCGCTGAGAGGTGAGCAGCACCAACAGGGACACACTCCCCCTGTCGAGCTCACGCCGGAGATCATCCACTAAGGCGACCAAGGCTGTCTCGGTACCATGCCCCGGCCTAAAGCCAGACTGTGCCGGATCCAGATAATTCGTGTCTACCAAGAACACCTGGAGTTGTGAGGCCACCACACGTTCCAGGACTTTGCCCAAAAAGGGAGATTGGAAACAGGCCGATAGTTGACGAATTGAGTGGGATCCAGTGATGGTTTCTTCAACAGCGGTTTTATCACAGCTTGTTTTAAGCTCGCTGGAATTTTGCCTTCCCGAAGGGAGGCATTAACCACCACCTTCACCCACTCGGCCAATCCCCCTCTGGCCTCCTTTAGAAGCCAGGATGGGCAGGGGTCTAGGATGCATGTGGTAGCTCTCATTCCTCCAAGCACCTTGTCCACATCCTCGGTTTGAACCAATTGAAATGAATCCATCAAAATTGGACAAGCAGATGCTCGTGTTACATCCTCAGAGACTGCCGTTAATATGGTGTCCAGTCCAGAGCGGATCAAAGCGACTTTGTCTGCAAAGAACTGAGCAAAGGCTTCACAGCGAGCTGCCGAGTCATCAGGGCTCCCATCCTGAATGGTGGGTTTTAACAGGCCTCTGACAACTCGAAACAGTTCGGCCGGACAGTTCTTTGCAGACGCAATAGTGGCCGTAAAGAAAGTTTTCTTTGCGGCTTTTATTGCCGCGGCGTATGACCTTAAAAAGGACACAAACCGTGTTCGGTTTGGCTCGCTCGGATCCGAACGCCACACGCCCTCTAGTTCCCTCTTCTTTCGCTTCAACGCTGCCAGCTCCTCAGTAAACCAAGGGGCTGGTTTTGTTCGGCTACTTGAGAGGGGACGTTCTGGAGCGATCGTGTCTATTGCCCTAGTCCTTCCTTCCTTCTTGTCTTTCCTTCCTTCCCTCTTTCCTCCTTCCTTCCATCTCTCCCTCTTTCTCCTTCCATCCTTCCTTCCCTTCCTCCCTTTCATCCTTT